AAAGAGAGGTCCAATTTGAATTATCTGTTCCAGATTAGCTTTGTGTTACCAGAGGAGGACCATGAGCACTACCCAGGCTGCAGCCCACCAGATTCCCTTAGGCACAATCTCAATCTGTGAGGCCCTGGATGGGGATGATCCCTGCCACTGGGGTGCCTAATCTGCCCATTCTATGCCAGAAACAGATCTTTGAAACATGATGGAGCCCAAAGTTTATTCATGCCTTGGGTTTATCTTATAAACAGGTAAAGATACTCCTAGTTATTAAATGTAGGAGTAGAAAACATTAAAGAGAACTGTGTATTAAATGCCCAATCTCCTTTGGCGTGAGATCCTGCTATAGTATGCAATTAATGCCCACTCATATCCTGAAAGTGAGACATACCAATCTGTGGACTGTTCCCCAAGAGAAGTGACAAAAACCCTCTCACTGGGGCATTTAAAAGTGCCAGCCAACACACCAGAGAATACGTACCTGGAGACAGTCTCATGCCAACAGGGAGATTCTCTGGGTCAAATTCAGAGATGACTCTAAGGGAGACAAAATTACTGTAATATACACTAGCCTCCACTATCTATGGCACACCAATTTAGATTCTCTCAAGAGCCCCTCAAACTTAATTAGAGACTCACTTAGACTCACATTCACTCCAACCTACAGCCTATACCCGACTCCAGTCTTTATACATCATTCTCGAATTTTGTCCACTGCTTTTAAACATAAAGGATTTTAAGAGGATATAAATCAGTGTAACTCACTCTTCAAAAAGATGAGAGAAGTGAGGTGTGAAAAATGCAATGAATAGATGGGTGCAATAATTAATTAAGTTGGGGCATGTGCCACTTTATCTGCCATGATGAGTAGCTCTGAGACAGCATAAAAAGGTGTAAGTTACACACCAGCACAGACTCACACATCAAAAAGAGTGCTGTTAGGTAGATATTACCTCTTCCGCATGTTACAGACTTTTTAGGTGGGAGTGTCTACACAGAAAAAGACAAGCTAAGTGAGCCCTGAGCATCTCCGAGTTACAAGTCTGTGGGCCAGGAATATCTCTGGTTGTTGTTAGGCTGCTTGTGTTGAGGTAACATCAGTCTGCTCCACAAGGCCAGTACAAGCAATTTGTGGTCTTACAGCATGCCAGGATGTATCACTCCCAGTGCCCCCTCCACGCGGACGGTCTTTCCTCCTGGATCCTACTGCCCAGACTGACAAAGGTCTTGTGAGTCGGGCAGCCGCATGGAAGCTGGCGGTTGTGGTGGAGCCGTGGGAGAGCCAAAGAGCCGGGCAGCCATGGGGGAGCTGGCAGCTGCAGGGGAGCTGGCAGAGAACCAGAGCAGGACAGCTGGGGTCTAGACTCGGCAGCTCCTCGCTACACCCCTGCTCGTCAGCCCTCTAGCTGCAAGTCAGAGCTGTGAGTGTCAGAGAGGGTAGTAACCCTTAATGTTTGACTGCTCACAGCATGATCTAACTTTAAAGATGCCTAACATTCCTAGAGAGTGAATTGTAACATCTGACAACACCCTAAGTGTGTGGCAGTAGGTCCAAGTAAGGCCTTAGTCACATGGGGAAGGGGGACTGGGCAGTCTGTATTTGACAGCAGCCGCTCTGGGACCAGGTCCCAGATCACAGAGCAGCATTTTCTTTGTCCCCTCTCCCCAGGGCCAGATTCACACATAGGCAAACGAGGCACATGCCTAGGGCCCTAAGTGAAGAAGGGTCCCAGTTGTGTTTATTTTACTTCTTATAATTATTCAGTGAAAAAAGTAACATAAAAATGTCATCTTCAGCTGGGGGCCCACAAGTTTGTTTGCCTAGGGCCCACTAAAGAGTGAATCCACTCCTGCCCCTCCCTACCATTGCAGCAGCAGCACCACTGGAGAAAGAGCAGCAACTCTTCATGCTGTTTCTGTGGCAACAATAACCCTTTCTGCTGTGGTGGTGTTAGCAGTGGGGTCCTGCTGCTCCCCCAAGTCCTGGCGGGGCTGCAGCTCTGCTCTCTGCAGTGCAGACTGTCAGGGAGCCAACTGCTCTCACTCCCACCCCCTTGGGAAAGCAAAGGATGAGGAGGTGCTAGGGAAACGATGTCCACAGGTTACACATGGCACTACAAAACATAGCACACCGCTGCAGAGAAGTTACTGTTTGAAATAGGAGTTTTTACTGGCAGATGCACAATCTTTGTGGCAGGCTGAAAATATGCATGCTAGCTTTTTGTAGCAGTAAAACAATGTCTGTAAGAACTACAAACATAGTGCGTGTCCACAGCCTGTGTCTGGATGTAGGGTGATTTGCCTTGACCACCTTACATATTGCCTGTACATTTGGAAGATATGAGATTAAATGAATGATTTTCCCAGTTCTCTCACTTGGTGCATTATAGCAGCCTCTTCTTAAATGTTCCCTTTGTCTAAATTCTAAAATCTACTGTGTTTTATTGCAGCATGCAAAAGGAAAGAACAAGAACATGGGAAGGATAGAGGGAATACACCCAAAAAGCCTAGGTTGGTCTTCACGGATGTCCAGCGTCGAACTCTACATGCAATATTCAAGGAAAATAAGCGTCCATCCAAAGAATTACAAATCACCATTTCCCAGCAGCTAGGGTTGGAGCTGAGCACCGTCAGCAACTTTTTCATGAATGCACGGAGGAGGAGTCTGGATAAGTGGCAAGACGAGGGCAGCTCCAATTCAGGCAACTCATCATCTTCATCAAGCACTTGTACCAAAGCATGAAGGAATAACCACAAACTAAACCTCGGTGGAAAAGCTTTAAAAATAAATAAATAAATAAAGACCAGGACCTCAAGATAGCAGGTTTATTCTTAGAACTATTTGAAAAAAATGTTATTTATAAGTCCAAAGAAACCAAAGACTTATTTCACCTGCATTATGACTTTGTTCTGAGACACACACTTTAGTAGGACGACAACTTGCAAAAAAATAAATAAGAAAGAGAGAAAAAGGAATGAAACAACAACAAAAAAGAGAGAGAAAAGAAAGAAACCACTGGTCTTACACCTTCATCCATGATCATTTTCACTGTACTTGGCTGTTTAGTGGTTTGGAGCATAGTGATTTCTTGTCATTGAATGGACATCTTTTCAGATATGGCTCTTCATTTCCACAGAAATTGCCATGAAGGTGTATAGTGTATCCGTACTGTGTACACACCAGTGGTTAGGGACTCAGTCAGGGCTGGTCTTCAGAAGGGGTTATGCTATAGCATGACCAAAATAGCGTGGAGTCGTCTGAATTCATTTGAATGGTAGTGTGATTTTGCTGTTTTATTGTTTGAACTTAACTGGTGCAACACCTGGAAACAAGTTCAAACTAGGCAAAGAAGTTTTGAATGATACCTAAACCAGTGCATTCTCTTTGTTTGTTAAGGAATGTTCAGATTTAAAAAATAAAACAATATTCCATCCATAAAAAATCGACTAGCTACCAAAGAACACATTTAATATTATATTGCAGGTATTTTATTGCAATGATTTTAATATTCCAAAGCTATTTTTACACAAAATACTATGTAGAGTTATAGGTATAAACTAATCTAACTGTATAACACATAACTTGTAATCAAGACTGTTATTTGCAATTATTAAACCACTTTAATATTTGTTTCCATAATTGGCAAGAAAGAATGTAGTGTTAGTTGTAGCAGTATATACCAGTGTAATAGCACAGATGCTAATAATGGGCTCCAGCTCCCATAAAAGCAAAGAAGCATTTTAGAGTTGGCTTCAGCAAAAAGAGGACAGAGTCGTTACAGCTGTGTGTAAGAATAATGTGAAATCTGCCATGTATGCACACACATATTACACTGTCCCTGGCTGATGTTGCTGAAAGCTCATCTAATTGAATGCTATGAAAAGACCATCTTTTCTTACCAGTTTGTTCTAGGTAAAAATAACTCAGCTCTCTCATCTAGACCTCAAACATTATATTTAGTTCAATTTGATGCATTTTATACAAAAAAAAAAAAGAATTATGGATTCATCTAAAAACTATGTGGTCTAGTGTCTGACTTTGCCTTGTTGAGATCAATGGCCTTTTTATCTATTGACTTCATTGGAAAATGAATCATGCCCTGAGCTGGGATGTTCTTTTGTTTCCAGATTCTTTTCCCATTTTAAATAATGGCACATCTCTTGTTAAGTTCACTGCAGCCATCTCCAAAAAAGTACTGCTGGTATTTTGGGGGGCAAATTCTGGTTCCATTGAAGTCAACAGCAAAATTCCCATGCAGTTTAGTGAGAACAGGATGTCATCCAATGTTTTGTATTTGCACCTATTTAAGTTTTTATTCTAGCACATTCTTTCTTGCTCATCTGTTAACCAGGATAATGCATGAAATAGTTTAAAATTAGTAGTTGAGAAGCATTTAAATACTCTGTTGCTAACAGAACTTTAGGAGAAGATTAAATTGTTCCATTCATACTATGATAAAATCCAAAAGAAAACAGTGTAAAGTCTGCATATAAAGTTCTAGTGTAAAGGGGGGATTAAAAAAAAAAACATGTGCCTGTTAGATCTCTAACTGGTATTTCAGATTACTGCAGCAAAATTTACTCAGTATCTCAAATTCCAAATTAACCAAATGCAGGTATATGTCCCATTATTAGGATGAGAAATATGTAATCTCAGTACCTATATTAAAATGAATTGAAGGTAAACTAGAATCCAATATATGTTAACAGTAGCAGGAACTATACTCTTGTTATAAAATCCAATTAAATGCTAAAGACAAAGAAATTAAGTAACTTTGCAGCACCATTTATTTTCTAAGTCAACAGTGTTGGTCAAGTTTCAAGCTATACAGTTAATTTACAAATAGGTGTTTAAAATGCAACTTAAATAGCTCCTTATTAAAACAACATTAAACAAGAACAGGATGTTTGGCACCAAATATTTCTCAACATTTTTCCATGTTAAACCCATTTTTTAAACTGACAATGCTATTGTCTATTGAAAGGTGGTCTGTTCATATTTTAGAGTTGCTAGCTTACCTGAAATTCTAGCAAGCTTTCTTTTAAATGTCCATACTCAGCGAGACACAATTAAAGTTGAAACACTAATAGGAAGATATAAACTTACATTTATGCTATCTTATCAATGCAATTTCTTTAATGTAGTAGTAATAAAGGACAATAACTAATATTTTGCTTTTTCCAGGAACACACTGCTGTGTAGCTTATACGTTAGAAAGAAAGCCTTATTTATTTAAAACTTGAGAATTTAAAAATGCAGGGAAATTCAGAGTACATTACCGCATTTTTAGTATGTACATTGTAATGTCTTTTGAGACTATTTGCTTAAACCAAAGAAAACTTTCATACCAGCATTATATTTGCACCCAATATGCAATTTCAGGATCTCTGCGATATACACACACATTTACACACACAGACTGATGCTCAAGTTACAGCCTAAAAGTGGTTTTTCATATGTCTGTTTAAGCATATTTAGACCTTTTGTTTTTAAAAGCCATTATGAACAAAGTCACCCTTCCCATAAGCAATATACTAATCATACTTTGAAGATGCAGAAAACACGCTTTCCTTTACTTCCTTTTTAAATATGAAGCAAAATAAGTATGGAATTCTTCATCCTCATTAGCAAGTTGTTTTACCTCTCAGTGTACTGCCCCTCTGCATTGACTGAAGCATAGAAAGTAGATTATTTGGTGCACCCTGATTCTTATCATTTCTTGTCTTTAGCAATGGTCACCCAGGAAGATAAACTCTATTTCTAAAATTAAACTTAAAATTCTACATAAAGGACAAAATCCTGCCCCTATAGAAGTCAGTGGAAGTCTTTCTATTGACTTCAATGCCATCAGAGTTTCAGCCAACATTTCCTGTCAAAATTTAAATTCCTACTAGGCCACCAAAATACCACCAAGCTACTGGTTTAGGACCTAAGATTGACAAGAAACAGTCAGGAAAGGAAGAAAAAAATGGAAAATGCTTGGAAATGCCAAGAGGCTGGGCTTCAGTCAAAGTTCATCAAAAACTAGTGGGCATTGGAAATGTGCACTCAGTTCTTGGAGTGAATCCAAAAGTTATCAAAAGGACCCAAGAGAGGGGTGGCAAAGAGGTTGAACATTTTAATCCATCCACATTGTAAATGCATTATTAACTTTCCAGAAAAACAACCACCATAACACTGCTACTTTTTGGCTCCCATATTCCTATCCAAGGGCCTCATCCTATGTCCTTACTCAGGCAAAGCAAACCAGAAACCAAAGTGAAAGAAACCTAGAATGGGGTTTTTTGCCTGAGTGCTTGATCCTGCTCCGTCTCAAGACAGTGACAAAATCCCTATTGATTTCAGTGAGCCACCTGTTGTCCTGCTTTCTCATGTTGAATAGAATCTTGCTCAATAAGTGGCCCCCTTGAAGTCAACGGAGATACTTGTGGAGTTAGGTGTTCCTCTGAGTAAAAGAGAGATGCATAATATGTCTCTGAATAGGGCTGGTTCCTGAGAAGGACTTCAGAATCGGGCCCTTGCATCAGTGGACATTCTGCCTGAAGTGGACAGCCTGTCCTTGGAGGGCGAGAAAACACTGCTGATCTTGTTATACCAAAGAGTCCTAGGACACTTCTCTTCACCTAAGTTGTAAAAAAGAAAAAAAGAAAAAAAAAAGACATATTTTCCCTTGAAAGGTGATCCTTCCCCTTCCTTCTCTCTTCCTCCTCCTCCTTTGTACATAAGGATGAAAACTATGCATTTAGCAAACAAAGAGAAAGCACTTATCCCTTTTCTATCTAGCTGTGTTTAGGGTGCATTCAAAGGCCCAGAGGCTAATTTTGAGACTGCTTAGCCTCCTGGTTTATTATTGTGGTGTGGTTAGCTTTACAATACATTTGGTAACTATTTGCTAAAGACAAAGAAGCAAAAAGTAAGGGATAGCTACTTCCACGTATTAAAAAAAAAGAAAAAAAAAGAAAAAGTGTGTAAAGATCTACTATTTATAGTGTGAACCAAAGACGCTACCTCACTCGATTTCCATTGGTGATTTTAATCACATTGATGATACCAAAGAATACCAAAGATTTTTCATGCACGGCCTTAGTCTGTAAAGGGAACTCATCCTCTTTCTTTAAATACCCCCAACCCCTTCCTCAATCTTCACTCAGTGTGTAAACTTGTCTTCATTCTTAATAATAATGATAATAATCTTATAAATACTACTATTACTACGACTGCTACTTCTGATGATGATGATGATAATAATAAAGCTCTAGGCAAACATGTTGCAAACTTTGTAAACTCATAGGACGAGTGCCTTGCTTGAACCAAAGTGTTAAACCGCTGTTGACCTCTTTATCTCTCACCTTATACTCTTTGAATACCTCAGCCTGTTAGAAAGGCCACTAATGAAAAAAGGAATAATTCTTCACCGTGGTGCTTTTTGCCGTGCAACCATGCAATGAAACTTTCTTTGATACCAAAGGAAAATGTTTTTTTCCACTTTCTTGCTGACAAACCAAAGGTTCCTTCTTCTTTCCCCCTGAAAGCAGCTTGAGTCCCTCCACTCAGACAGGCCGTGCATTTCTTTTACCAATTCCTCCAAATACCTCATAGTAATAAATCCTTAGGGTTATGTTGTATAGAGAGTCTATGTGATAAGGCAGAACTTACTAGTTTGATAATTGTTAAGGTTACTTTAAAAAAAGCTTTATAATTCTTATTTATTTTGTAGGGGGTTTTTTGTTTATACATTTCTTTTTTAT